GGAGTCTTGGGAAAGGGATGGAGTGTGGGGTGGGGCCTGGTTCAGAAGGAGGGGAATCAAGCACCTCCTAGCCAGAGGCAAAGTTAGTGCCGATGTACACCATTACAAGTCCACTAGAGGGCTGAGCCCATTGCTCACTACACGACAGCCAAAGATCATGATGACATTCTGTCATCCAGCAGGAAAAACTTTTATAGATAGACACCTTGGGAAAGGGATGGAGTGTGGGGTGGGGCCTGGTTCAGAAGGAGGGGAATCAAGCACCTCCTAGCCAGAGGCAAAGTTAGTGCCGATGTACACCATTACAAGTCCACTAGAGGGCTGAGCCCATTGCTCACTACACGACAGCCAAAGATCATGATGACATTCTGTCATCCAGCAGGAAAAACTTTTATAGATAGACACACAGACAGGTGCCTGCCTCACTACATGCTGTCTGTGCCTATGCACTGTGAACACACCTTTAGTTCTAGCCAATCCTTTTCCCATCAGAGTCCTGTTTTTTGTTCCAGCTACACCAGACTAACACGGCTGCATTTCGATCACTATTCTAGTGGCAATACAGTTTGCATTTCACAGCCCAGCACATCAAGCTCCGCCTCCTTCTGCATGGTGGTAACAGCATCTCCAATCCCAAATGTTCAAAAAAATCATGATCCAGTTTTACCAAAAAACCCACGACATTTTGTAAAAATAATAGACCCGGTGTTCTTGCCTGCGGTGGGGTTTTTTTGTTTTTAGGTTGTGCTGGGGGAGACTTAGAAGCTTGTACACTTCGAAGCTTTCTCCACAGCCACATGGCTAGAAACGTCTCCTTTAAAAAGGAAGTCAAAAAAAAAGTCCTCACCCGCGCACTTGACCCTGGGAGCTGGGACAGTCAATAAACAAGAATGAGCAGAAGACGCAGGTGAAAATCTGGAGCGCTGCCAACACTGCAATTGCTGGTTCCCCAAAAAAGGCACCAGAGGGGTAATGGATGCAAATCAAATGCTCCCTTGGCAGGGACCGGCTGGGCTCCAGGTTGCACGGGGTAGCTCTGCAGGCAGCCAGCAGGGCCCGGCCTGGGCAGCCTTAGCGGGGCTGCGCTGGAGGATTCCACCAGCAACGGGG